CACACAGATACACACACACACACGCACACACAAACACACACACATATATATATATATACACAAACACTAACATAAATATTATACGCGAGAGAACGACTCAACAAGATTAACAAACGCTGATTATCTATTTGTATACACGTATACATATACACATATCTGTGTATATGCTCTATATCCGTGGGGTGGCATACCTTTTCTTCCTTGGATATCACAGGCACAGGCTTTACTTCCGCTTCCGCATCATCTTGTGAAGCATTCGCTGCAGCGACATGATATCAATAACAGAAATGAATAAGAGAGAGCCTTGGCCTGTACAAATACACGTATATATACAAAGATAGACACAAAACCACAATACTAACTTATTGGAAAGGCAAACCAGTTGCCAGCTGTATTTATATCGCGGTGCCGTAGAAATCAGCTAGTAGGTACTATCTCCTCGTGCGCGGTGTGTGTGAGTATATGTGTGAGAGTGTGTGTATGTGTGAGAGTGTGAGTGTGTGAGTATATGTGTGATTGTGTGTGTATTTGTGAGTGAGTGAGTGTGTGAGTGTGTGTGTGTGTGTGCTGTTGGTCTAGGTGTAGATGTGACGCTGGTGTCCTTTTCTGCCACTTATGCATTCTAATAGAGTCCATAGGAGTGTGCTGTCCTAATAAGGACCAGTTACATGCATGCCTGGATGTATGCGTATATGAATCGGATAGACACTTGTAATCGTGTGCACTATGTGTCAAGGGCGAGCATGCAGGGGGGGTATATTATTGTGTGCAAGGGAGGTATCTTATTGTGTGCGAAGATAGCTGTACAGTAAAATCGCAGTCAGTGTATGTATGGTTACATGGGTGACCCTTTAGCATCCGTACTAGAGTATAACTATATTCAATTGACCTTAAATCCATACATAACAGGTTTTTTTGAAAAAAAAAGTCGGGTGCTTGTTCAGCAGATCCCCGTGAATAGTTGCAACCTCGCCGCGCATACAAGCCTTCAGTCGCGTAAGAACATTACCGTAGACAAGAGATACACTCACACGTATATTTCCATCTACACATACGTACCTATATATACACGCAACCATACACACACCCATCCCCACATACCCGAGGCACTATGATTAACCAGTTCAGCATCCATCAGATCCTCGCCGCTCACACTGGCTTTCAGGCGAGTGGGTGCAGTGACCTGTGTCGAGTGTGCTCGTGCGCGCATGCTGCCCCTATCATGTGTCACTAACTTGCCACTGCTTTTCTTTGTGATAGCCGTAAGACCAGATGATGACATCTTCTTGCGCAAGGACCGCATTGGGCTCATACGTGAGCTGTCGCTAGAGTTACTGTCTAGGGAAGAGGAGCTGCCGGTGCGTTTGAGTATGGTTTGTATAGCCGGCTGCTGTGGCGAAGGAGCCGCCGGCGTGGACTATGTAGAAAGGGGTGGTAGAGAAGTGATGGTGTTGGGTTTGGAGGTAGTGAATGGTGTGTGAATGTGAAGTGGAGTAATGTCATACACACACACGCACACACACACACACACATGCACACACACACATATATATATATATGTATACACACACACACACACACATATATATATATATTTATGTTTATAATCCGATGTAGGACCCTGTGAAGCAAAGCAATATAATCGGGGATGGTATCGTTGTCGGGGAAACAAAACAGGATATAAGAAATTCACTAGGAATATACACATAGCTTAATTACTAACTTGCAAGTTCACGTATATTTCTGTTCGTACGTACATTTATTTTTGGATTACATATATTAATGCGTCTTTTTTTTCTATCGTAGACCTACATGCCCACACGTGCACTCACATAGTACCGTGTCTGTTTCACGTCATGTGTTACATTCGCTATATCGCCTCATATATATATATATATATATTAAATATATAAATATAAAG